TCTCAATTTGTATCAAGCAATCGATCGAGCAACCGTTGGGGTCGGTATATATATGTGTCAACTAGAATGAAATAGATTTAAACACGATAAACATATAGAGGAATATAATAGCATTATTTGGGTGACTATTTACACAAAATACAGTATATTACAAAAATCATAAGTTAAGATTCATTTAATTAAGAATTACCTGTAAGAATTCATCTTCTTTTATGTATGTGCATAGTAGAAAAAAAAATATTTAAGTAGGTTAAAATTTATTTAATAATAAAAATATATTTTTTTACAAAGTGAATTGCTAAATATAATTGAAATCCATAATGTCGATTAGTTTTATCATATATTCTTACTCTTACTTACAAACATGATCTTAATAATCCACCATGTCCCAAAAGGTATCATTTAAATTGTTAAAAGTAACATGCTTTAATGGTGTGATTAAAATTAAAGTCACATTAAAATTGTTGAGCAAATTACGATCCAACTATTCTATATATTGGTAAATCCCAAAAATTCAAATATGTTGGTTGTCAATAGATCATCGTGTATGTAACAACCCGACTTGTCGTTTTAAGAATTAACGCCCCGTTCAGTGACTTAAGGTCTCGAGCAGCTTCACAATATGTATTATGACCCGCGGGTGTGGTCGAGTTTGAATTACTGAAGATTTGGAATTAAATTAAAAGAACAATCCTTATTTAGAAGTTTAAATGGAAAAAGTTGACTTTTAAACAAGCGACTCCGGAATGGAATTTCGATGATGTCAATAGCTCCGTATGGTGATTATGGACTTAAGGGCGTGTCCGGAAATTTATATGGAGGTCTGTAGAGGAATTAGGCTTGAAATGGTGAAAGATGAATTTTTAAAAAGTTTGACCGGGGGGTTGACTTTTTGATATCGGGGTCAGAATCCAGTTCTAAAACTTTTCATCGCTCTTTTATGTTATTTATGACTTGTGTGCAAAATTTGAGGTCAATCGGAATTGATTTGATACGTTTCGGCACAAAATATAGAAGTTGGAAGATTTGAAAACTCATAATTCGATTCGATGCGCGATTCGTAATTTCGGCGTTGTTTGGCGTGGTTTGAAGCCTCAACTAAGTTCGTATTATATTTGAGACATGTTGGTATATTTGTTTAAGGTCCCAAGGGCCTCGAGTGGATTTCGGAAGGTAAACGGAATGGATTTCGGACAAAGAGGGTTGCTGGAAATTTCTGTTGAAGAAATTTCGCTAGAAATTTCTGGTGCGTGGAGCCAACTATGGAAGCTTATATCTTACAATTCATAAGGAATTGGAACATTTTCAAATATGAAAGTTGTAGTCGTTTGATTCTAGTTTCCATAAAGTTAAACCATTCATTATTTGGACATTTGTACAAAACATTATGATGGATTGAATGAAGGCTGGTAGAGCAGTTTCGCCAGAAATTTCTGATGCATGGAGCCAATTTTGGAAGCTTATATCTCGCAATTCATAAGGAATCGGAAAACTTTACATGAAAGTTGTAGTCGTTTGATTCTAGTTTTCAGAAAGTTAGACCATTCATCATTTGAACATTTGTACATAAAGTTATGATCGATTGAAGGAAGGCTGGTACAAGCAAGTTCTGGTGGACTTTTAGTGACGGAAAATGGACCTTTAGTGACGGATGAGCAGAAACTTAAGGACCAAAAATGGTCATTTCCTTCATTTCGTTCTGGATTTTTGGAGCACGGTTCTCGGACGATTTTCACGGAAAAATATTGGGGTAAGTGTTCCTTATCCTATATTGATTATATTTCATGATTCCATACTCATTTACATCATGAATTCATGAATTTATGGAAGAAAAATCTTCCGAAAACGAAAATTTAAGATTTGGAGGTCGAGTTGTTATCGGAATTTGATAAAATTGATAGGGGTGGACTCGTAATTGAATGGGTTGTCGGATTTTATAACTTCACCGGATTCCGAGATGTGGGCCCCACGAGCGAATTTTTGAGTTAATTTCGAATTTTTATTGAAAAATATAGTATTTTTTTATGGAATTGATTCTATAATTTTTGTTGGCTGTATCGAATAATTATGACTAGATTCAAGCGGTCCGGAGGTCAATTCAAGCAAGAAAGCAATTTTGGAATATCGATATAACTTTAAAAAGGTAAGTGTCATGCCTAACCTCGAGTGGGGGAATTACCCCTTAGGCATCGAGTCTTATGTGCCATTTGTGAAATGTGAAAAGCCATGTACGCGAGGTGACGAGTACGTACTCGGGCTTATATGTGCAAATTTTATTGGATTAAAGTCTTAGACATTATTGTGTAGTAAATTGGATAATTGCTGACATTTATTAAATCATCTAATTGACATACCTAAATCCTTGTTGTTGAATTTATTTTTATATGACAATTTGATGTGATTGTTACTTGAAAATGTATGTAATTTCGTGAGTATTGCTGGCTTGATATTTCTTGAAATTTAATTTCATTATGAATTTTCCCTATGCAAATATTTAATTAAACAAGTTTAAAAAGAAGTGTTAATATAATTATCTAAATTTGGCCTAATGAAGGTGTTGCCCTATGCTGATTATTTTCTATCTCTGTTGATTATTTTTGAGGTTTTATATACATTGTGTGGAGCCTTGGGCTATTTGTTTTGAAATTAATTGATTTGGTTGTATCTTTGGACTTGTTTGTGGCCATTGGGCAAATTGTGATATGAATTGATTTTGTTATGTTGCCGTGATAATTTCTCGTGTAAATTGTTGTGTTGTGTGAGCTATTATTTTGAGGATATAAGGGTGGCATTTTACCGTTGATATTATGTGGGTAAAAGGGTGGCATTTCACTATTGTTGTGTTTGTTGGAATATTGTCTGGGCAGAGCGATAAGGGTGGTTATAGGAGGGATAAGGGTGGCAATAGGAGCGATAATGGTGGGTATTGATATTGTCAGGGCGAAGGGATAAGGGAGGCTATTATAGGAGTGATAAGGGTGGCTATAGGAGAGATAAGGGTGGCTATTGTCAGGGACGATATGTGATGATGTGTTGTTGTGGTGTTGATAATTTTCATGTGATATTCTTGTGTTTATTTTTATACCTTGTGCAATTTGTCCTGTTGTTGGTAAATTGATAACAATCTGGTTTATGTTGAAATTGGGAGCCTGTGGCTATTGCCAAGCGGATTATAAAATGAAATGTGGGCACGAGGTGCCGTGAGTAAATAATGAGGATATTGGCACGCAAATTGTCCGTACAGTTGTGGTATGAAATGAGGGCACAAGGTGTTGTGATTAAATGATAATGATACTTGGCACGTGAATTGTCCGTGCAGTTGTGATATGAAATGAGGGCACGAGGTGCCGGGGAAATATGATAATTTAATTATGGGCACGAAGTGCCGTGGAGATATGAAAAATGGGCTGAGACCCGTATTTACGAAAAATATGAAAATGGGCTGAGACCCTATTTTTATGATTATGAAATGAGGTGTCACATGGTGACTTTTTAATTGAAGAATTATATTCAAAATATTTATTTGGAAGAATTTTTATTTAAAAAGTATTGTATGAAAGAATTATATTTGAAAGATATTTATTTGAGGAAATTATATTTGAAGAGATTTATTGAAAGAATTATATTTGAAAGATAATTATTTGAGAAAATTATATTTGAAAGAGAGTTATTTGGAAGAATTATATGTGAAAGACATTTACTTGAAGAATTTGATTTAATTGGGTGTACTTGTATTTATTATTTATTGAGCGATATTAATGGTATTTTGTTGTCTTGTTGTGCATATCAATGGTTGTTTTATGTTGCCCTTATTATTATTTATTCCTATTAATGGTATTGGTAAATCCCAAAAATTCAAATATGTTGGTTGTCAATAGATCATCGTGTATGTATATATTTATTTGTCATTGAATAATTTTAGGCTAGTAAAAGTTGATATTGATGTGAGAAGTCATTATGTTGAAATAATAATATAATATATTTTTTATAATTTAAATTAAGATTTTACTAAACTTATTTTTATTAGTTATTACTTTATATAGTATTACTTCACACTGTTTCATTTAGATGTGGTAGTTTGAATTGGCATGGAGTTTAAGAACGAAAAAAAAAAAGACTTTTAAAACTTGTGGTCCTAAAAGTTTTGTGTAGCCATGATATTTATGTGGCTATAAGAGTTTCTCATTATGGATAAAATTGATAAAATAAAAAATTTAAAGTTAATTATTTTCAAATATAGAAATATGTTTTGGAATGTACTAATAAGAAAAACACTTCATGTAAATTGAAAGGGAAGGAGTATTTATTTTTGAATCATATTATACTTTTATTTATTTGTGTTACCGACTATATGTGGGGTTATAATATTTAAATTTATGCCAATATTTATTCATACTATTTTTTTTAATTTGTAACATTTAGCAGGATCATAATAGTACCCGCATATTTTTGAATCATATTATACTTTTATTTATTTGTATTACCGACTATATGTGGGGTTATAATATTTAAATTTATGCCAATATTTATTCATACTATTTATTTTTAATTTGTAACATTTAGCAGGATCATAATATTATCTGCATATCATGCGGGTACTAATATTAGTCTAGCTTTAAGAGAGTGAGTTGGAGTTGAGATCCCATCAAAACATCTATGATTTCTTTCATTCCACAAGCACCAAAAAAAACTGCTTCACCAACATGCTGTGGCAAGACTCAGTAATTCCAACACGCTATCTATCTCCCAATCCTGAACGTACCTTCTGAATAATACATTCCAGTTGTTCGAACCCACATCAGTTTTTGAGCAATAGAGGTATTCTTATCTTGGGCAATATGGAATAAATTGGGTTATACCTCCATGAGTGGAATATTGTTTAATCATTTATCCTTACAGAAGCTAATGTTCAAACCATTTCTGTCACGTCCCATACTACTCTCTAGACGTAACTGACACCCAGCTAACATCATTTGCTAGGCGAACCATACTTTCATACCTTAGCCATTAATGTGCAATATTTGATTAATTAAATGAGCATCCAAATAATCTAATAATTTATTTACTAACAATTAATATCTCAAAGTACTAAATTGAAACTCTAGGCCAAATCACACACTAGACCATGGAGCATCTAAGAGAATTACAAAAGACATCATATGAATAAATGATAAAGAGTCTTTTGGCAGCCTCCACGAACAATGTGGCGGCTCACCTCAATAACTGAATCAACTCTAGCGAACTCGCCTTCGTCTTCACCAACAGTATCTGGATAGACATGCAGGTAAGGAGTGAGTTACGTAATCCAGTAAGATCCTCGACTCGCTACTCTGAATACTTCTGGAATAAGTGTTAGAAAATATAAACACACAACGAGCACAAAAATTCTTTCACCATATAATAACTCTATAAGGTCCAAACAATTATTTAACAACATTATATATTTCAGCACAATCTACACTAAGGACTTGTTATAAACGACAGTGTAGAAAATTAACCAAACACCCCAACAAGTCCACGACAGCATACATAACACCCCAAATCTACAACGGCGACATATACAATGCCCCAAATATATCAAGAAGCATACACAATGCTCGAGTGATGTACAAAGGCATACACAATGCCCCAATATCATGGCTCACAGCCGTATCAAACTATCAAACTCAACACCATGGCTCACAACCGTATCAAACTATCAAACTTAACATCATGGCTCACAGCCGTATTACGCCATTAAACAACTTATAAATTTTTATTTTTTTTGTATTTTTCATAAAATAATATATTTGCGGCTAGTCTAAGACCACCGATTCTACCAAGCGCACGCTTGTCCCAACACATGGACTAGGCAGAGAAAACACATTTTCAAAACGAATTTTAGAAAAGCAAGCACCAAAGCTTAAAGTCTCACTTACCTCGCTAACGGCAAGTCTCTCAATATTGTGATGTCCAAAACACCAACCAAACGGCATTCAATAGCCTCAATCTATAAAAAAAAAAAATATTAATTAACAATGTCAATGCCTAAGTCCAAACCTCGAAGCAAATTGTAAAATTGGTTTAACTCATTCCTCCATGGGTCAGAGATATATATAATTATTTTCTCATTATAAGTCAACATAGTTATTCAATTAAAACTAGTCTTTAAGACTGAAACTTCTTAATTCTAATGTCCAAGTAAATTCTTCCCGTATCCTTGGCATTCAGAATATCATCTAACTTAAATTGCTTGAGTTAGTTCAATAACTATCCCTCCATTCCATCAATATCACCATTCAAAATCCTAATTTCTCTTTAAAGCTTCAAACTTACTTATGATAGCTTCTCATAATTTCACCACTAAATAACAAAATAAGTTATCAACTCTATCTAAATCATAGTTTAATCTCATCATACCAACCAAAACACTTCATCTTAAATCATAAAGTCGAAACTGATAACTAAACAACATAAGAAATAAATTTAATACCTTATCCTTAATTCCCTCCGGCAATGATTCACTTAGCAAAAAAAAAATATATATATATATATATATAGCAAAAATCCTTATCACCGACGCTTCAAATTCTATAGCTCCTTTGTAGCCTTTTCTAGTTAGGATTCTAAAACCAAAAGTTCGCCCATTTGATCTCCTTAAGGAACGTAGTAGTAACAGAAGGTGGGCTTGGCCCACTTTTTTTATTTTTTATTTTATAAAATCAACCAAAGTCACTTTCCAATGATCCCATTCCAACATTTGCACACTGCTTCAGCACATCTTCACTTAGTAAAGAGAATTGCAACGATTAAACATCAAACACAGAAAATACAACCATATCATGTAAACCAGCAGCAAGAAAGTACACTAGTATTTCAGAAAAGAAGCGAATTCATTAGTTACCTGAAGTTGTTCAAGCTTTTTTTTTTCTTTTTTAACTTAGATTTGAAGGTTAAAATTCATTTCCAAATTACAATAATAACAACAACTACGCCTCTGTCCCAAACAAGTTGGGTAGGAGGTATAAATCCTGATTTCTTTCTTTAAGCTCAACTCATATCATCATCATTACCAATATAAAATAAACGTGAAAGTAAAAGAATAAGATATATATTAGTAAAAATATTTCAGATGATCAAGTATGCTCAGAGATACGTTGCAGCGACCTAAAGCCAAAAGCATATATTTGTCTAAAATAGTATAGTCTATGTACGAATGGCAGAATTATTTTCAAATCATTTAAATTATTTCCAGTTACGCCTACTACGACAAGAGTGGGTTGCTATGGTTGTGAGCACCCTCCACTTCCAACCAAGAGGTTGTGAGTTCGAGTTACCCCAAGAGTAAGGTGGAGAGTTCTTGGAGGAAGGGAGCCGAGGATCTATCGGAAACAGCCTCTCTACCCCAGGGTAGGGGTAAGGTCTACGTACACACTACCCTCCCCAGACCCTACTAGTGGGATTATACTGGGTTGTTGTTGTTTTACCCCTACAACGATAAAATTTTAGGGAAAAATTAAAAACAAACCTGAGGATGATATCACCAGCTACCTTGCTCTTAGCTTTACTGAGAGAGACATAGAAGCAGAGGCCTAAAGCATCAAAGGAAAGAATAAAGTGGTAGGAGCAATATCCGGTACCTTTCTCGACAAAATGGTAACAAGCAACTACTTGCATAGTTTCAAGCATATGGCGTTGATATTGAGTAATTGCTGCACTATTACACACCTTCTTTGTGTTTAAAATCCAATTGGATAGATGCTTCCTACATCCAAGAAACATGAAATTAAGTGTAAATATACACATGAACACGAGAATTCTCAAGATTTCGAGGCTAACCTTGATTTTCTCCTTTCGGGTACCCAATATTTGCTAAAAATCTAAGAGGATTCTCCTGATCCAATCAAAATCATGCAAGCTAGTTGGGGCTATGAGAGATGCTGGTCTCATTTTCCCATGCCATCTTTCTCTTTTTCTTTCTATTTCTCTTTCTCTTTCTTGAAGCATCGTCCATCTTCTTTGATAGGCTATCACAAACTCTAATCAGCTCAACATTCTGAGATTCATGTTCCTTCTGAACTACCATTGTTACTTGATCCATCTCTAGAGCTTTATTCTCATACCCCAAATGTAGTCCCCTCTCTGTTGTGATGTTATTCTCAACAAATGCCAGCGAACCAGAACTGCATGATGGCTCTAGTTGTTCAATTACCATAGAACAACCAATTTCAGTTGTCACTGCATTATCGTTTTGCGGAACTGGATGGAGTTTGGGACTTTGTCTCACACGTTGCTTCCTTCTCCATTTCCTAACTTTATTCTCATACTCCAGGCGAATTCCCCAACATGCTTCCGCTTCTGAGGATACCTCAAATAGGCAATAATCATTTAGGATCTTCCCTTCTTTATCGTCAGAAGTGCGCCACAATGCTTTAAATGGTATGTAGTACCACAAGACAGAAGGAAAGTTAAGGCAACTTTGGTGGATGTGAAAATTCAAGGAATGTTTTCTTTCAGGCTCAGATTTGCAGACCAATGTAGCTATTAGATCAACTCTACATCTATCAGAATAGAAACATATCGAAAAACCCAGGAATTTATGGGTATACCAGGATGGATTCAGACAAATTGAGATCTTTGATTGATTTATAAACTGATAATCGAACGACTCTGGTATTCTGACTTCAGGGAAAGTAATGCAAAAGTAGCTCCTCTGGTGAAAGTCACACTGCAACAGAAGATCATTATTAGTATAGATCAATTAATTGACATTCATAGGTGAGGGAGAGGCAAAAACCTGGATATATGTCCTGAGAAAATGCTGTAGGAACTTCAACACATTAACTTGGTTAGTTGTGACAATTCCGCATTCGGTTCTTTCATGACCATACCATGATATACAGATGTCATGCAGCCTAACACACTTAAATACTATATCTCTGATGCTCTTCGTGGCTAAATGATAATCTGCATATAACTCCTTTAAATTTGGGGGTAGTTCAAGTTCATTAAGATTCTGACAGAATCGCACATCCAGGGATTTCAGGCTTACGAGTTTGTTGATGCTTTTGGGTAAACAAGAAATACTGCTTCCTCTTAAATTCAACTCTTCCAGAGAGTGCAAAGATCCAAGATCCTCAGGAAGTCCACCCAATATGTTGAAATTACCAAGATGAAGTTGTGTCAAGGAGGAAAAAGCTAATAGTTGATGTGAAACAAAACCTGACGAATGCTGCACTTGTCGTACAGCATTCGAGAATTGTAACATCTCCAGATTGTGAAGCTTGGTGATGGAGGGAGGTGGTTGGGAGATTGCAGTATCACTTGCATCAAGTTCTTTTAACCGTTGAAGATCACCAAATTTTTCTGGAAGCTTCTCTAACTTTTTGCAGCCTTTGAGAACAAGTTCTTCAAGCTTCTTCAAATTACAGAGGCTGTTGGGCAGACTTACAAGATCTTCACATCCTTTCAGATTGAGATATTCGAGGTTGCTCAGATTCCCAATGGATGAAGGCAGTTCTCTTATCCCGGTAGAATCCAGATTGAGAAATTCGAGGTTGCTCAGATCCCCAATGGATGAAGGCAGTTCTCTTGTCCCTGTAATTTTTATGGTCAGTTCTTTCAAGGAATGCATATCTCCATTGATTTCTGGAAATGTATCTAATTTTGGGCAATTAGATATCTTGAGTCGTCTAAGGGACTTCATCTGAATAGAGTTTGGAAGCTTCTTTAAATTCTCACAGTCTTCTAAAACTAACTCAATAAGCTTCTTTTGAACTATAACAGATAGGGAGAGCTCTACCAATCTAGAACAATGGTATATATAAAGTTCCTCCAATTGCTCTGATTCAAAAAGGCTGTTTGGCATTGCTAGTTTCCTGCCATCTGAAATCTTCAGAAATCTAAGAATTTGAATGCTAGTGTCTGGAATACTTTCAAGATCTTCACAATCTCTCAAATGTAATTTGCTTAGACCACTGAGAGAAGGGGGTAAGCTTCTTATCCATGGGGATTCCACATAGAGTTCTGATAAGTGCTGCATATTTCCACAGAATTTTGGAAATTTTCTTAAACTTGTGCATTCACGAAGGTTGAGAGTCTCAAGAGATTCCATGGAAACAAATTTTGGAAGCTTCTTAAGTTTTTTACAACCCCGCAAATCCAATTCTTTAAGCATTCTGCAATGTCCAAGAGATGGATGGACCTCTTCCAAATTCATACACTCACGCAAACTTAGTGTCTCCAAGTTTGGCATATCACCAAAATTAGGGCTCTTTGTTAACCTGAGGCTCTTGGTTAGATCCAAATGCTTCAACTTGTTCAATCTCTGGAATATAAAACATAATGTTTCTGTGAGCTTAAGTAGTAATAATAGAAATATTGCGATTGTATTTTGTGGAGGGAAAACAAAAGGAGAGAGGGAGAAGAGAAGGTTGTTACAGAATTGACCGAAAATGCAAGCTAATTAAAACGGAAAAGTTTCGTTTTCAGAATGGTCATTAAAGTAAGTAGACTGGACGAGAAAAACAAATTAAACAGTAGCTAATGCGGAAAATGGAAATCAGTTTTCAGTTTTGTTTTTGAGATACGTAATTGTCTTAACATCTAAATAAATATTTCTTCTCTTTTAATTTAAGAATGAAAATAAAACCTTTTTTAATATCATAGATCCTTTTTAGATTTTGCTTTTTAAAATATTGAAAATCAAATATTTATAGGGCTTACGTCGTGAAGGAGTACCCCGGCGCTAACACTTCAACCCCGGGGCATACATGTCATCTTTAGAGAAGTGATAAATTAAATTATACAAGGGAAAAACTAAAGTTTTTAAACCATTGGCTCTGATACCAGTTGTTAGATTAAAACGGCCCAAAGATACTCTTAAGTCTCAACATGGCATGATATTGTCCGCTTTGGGTCAAGCCCGTATGATTTTACCAAAAGACCTCACACCATTAAGAGTATCTAACTACTTATAAGTAGCTTATTTTTCTTTTCTACTTTCCATGTAAGACTTTGTTCATACTCCCAACAAGTTTATATTCAAGATGTTGTACAATTATAAAAATTTGTTCATAATTATTTGAAATTGTGAAATCCAAATATTAAAGAAACTTCAAATGAAAATAGTTTTTGTACTATTTTTTGTGATAAAGTACTTCATTTTAAGTTATTTATAACCTCGTTCCCACAGAAAGCAAATATAGCTATATTTGTGCGGTTTTTAACGGTTCCATCCTTTAGTCATATTATGGTGTCTATATTCTTTTTTGCTTTTTTATTTTATGACGCCCAACAATTATTGTTTGATCATATTCAGAAGGAATTCAACATCTGTTCTTCCCGTTGACTTAATATTTCTCTTCAACCATTGAAAGAATGCAATATTCAGTATTATTATAAGAAAGCGAAAGAGGAAGGCGGTAAAGGGTGGGGAGCTCTTCTTAAGAAGATGCACAATTTAGGACGCTGTTATTTTGCCAAAACTCAGTTTTAATCAATATTCAGTTTGATGTTTCACTCACCAGCTTTTGACCTCTCCTTTGGTGTCAATGTTTGTTATGTTATTGGAATGTTTTGTGAGAATACAACTACGGACTACAAGAAAATTTGAGAAAGGAGTACAAATTTGGGATTGGGTTTGCTGGAGTTCAATTGGGGAGCAAAATGGGAGATAAATGGAGAGGGAATTTAAGGATTTGGATTAAAAACCCAAAAGTCCATACATTTAATGTGGTGGCATGTCTTGCCATATGTATTTTGGAGAAGTCAAATGTAGGTATTTTGGAAAAAGATTTACATGCAGTGGCGCCATGTGTACTCAAGGGGAATCAATCGACAATCCTTCGATAGAAAATATCACTTTGTAGCTAAGTAAAGCTTTCATTTTTATGTATATACACTATATATTGACGGCTTATATTATTTTTCTGATTTTTGTTGTTGTCACAGATTCTATTGTCTATTTTCGTCTTCTTGAGCTGAGGGTCTCTCGGAAACAGTGTCTCCATCCCTCCGGGAAAGAGAGAAGGTCTGTGTACATTCTACCCTCCCCAGACCCTACTTGTGTGATTTTACTAGGTTGTTGTTATTGTTACACTATATATTGACAGAAGAGAAGTCTTGGAGCAACAGTAAAGTTGTCTCTGTGTGACCTATAGGTCACTGATTCGAGCTGTGGAAGCAGCCACTAATGCTTGCATTAGAGTATGCTATCTATATCACACCACTTGGAGTGTGACCATTCCCCGGACCCTGCATGAACGCGGAATGTCTTGTGCACCGGGCTGCCCTTTTACACTATATATTGACACCCTTTGGCTTCTTCGCGAGTTTACTTCTTTATATTTTGCCCC